CTATCTACATAGCACCTTCTGGCACTATGAAAGCCATCCATCCAGTGGCATGGAGTTTTTACTTTCTCCAGTTTTTCTTCTCCCGTGCTCACATCATGCAGTGTCTTCAGCAACATGGCCTTAACAACCTTTCGAGTGTACAACAGACATTAGTGGAAATAGCACTTGTTAATTTGAAGACCTCTAAGATCTCTCTCTGACCAATGGCTCATGGTGGGGGGGGGTGCAACACACCCCTGGTACTGTAGTTTTTCTTAACAGTTGTATAGTTTTTGGAGCCTCTGTTTTTATCTTACACAGCCATAAAACTCCCAAGAATCTTACAGCTATAGCTGGCCTTTGTTTCTTCAGGTATCATTCAAATGGGTTTCACATCTGTAAAACACTCAAAGGTTAACATCATTTGTTAAATAAATCATAGACAAGGTCTAACACAGCATGGAAAGGTATTATCCATTTGTAGTAATTGCTTTCTCCATAGATCTTTGTTAGGTATTATAGCATGGTTAAGAGGAATTAATTTGGTTAGTTCTTTATTATCTTTAGTTATCCTTTTGGAATCATTCTCCATTTTGGCGATCTTACATGGAATCTCTTTGTATTCTTTTATCCTTGATACATTTACAGGTGCTGGCTCCAGTTGCCTGACCCTGCACTGGGCTAAGGAGGCAGAGGGTCCCTCTTGTCCCTGATGCATCTGTTTGTTCCCTGAGTCAGGCAGGCCCTGGGTCTGTCTCCTGGCTGTAGCCATATCTGCCACCTTTCTATTAACCATACCTGGCTGCTGGGGGCAGCCCTGGTGGGAAAAACCACCTCTACCCCTAGCATAGCCTTTCTCAGGAGAAAAATGTACCTTATTTAATCTTTGGGTCTCCTTAACCACCTCTGGGACAATTTTTGTCCTCTGAATGCCTTTTATAAACTGTTCTTCAGGTTTTAAAGCCTTCCAGAAACTCCTTAATACCGAATTTGGTTTTCTATCATTTTTTTCTTTGGGAATTTGGGCTCGGCATAAAACTTACCACAGTTGTCTTTGAGTAACCAAAACAGACAATTTCATCTGTCTGGTCTTTTTATATCTCTTGTAGGTTGTTATGTTATTCTACAGACATATTTTATATGCTGGTTTGAGTCACTTAGATTTGCTAAAGCCTCTCTTTAAAAATATTCTGTCCCATTTAGCAAAATCATTAAAGTTCTATACAATTCTCAAGGTCCCAGTTGAGTTAACTTTCCTTTATATCTCTGGTGAACATACCCTTATCTGACCCAGCAAACTGGGCATCACATATTGCTTTTTTCATATCTAGTTCGCTCAGTATTGCCTGTCTCTCTTTTCTAATCCTCCAGCCCATGTTAATTATGGGAGTTTCCTTTGGTGATGACCACATATCTTTAATACCTTGCACCAGTCATCCCATTAGGGACTGCTCCCCCTGCATTGGCCTAGGTTGAACACCCTATGTTGCAAGGACAAATGGGTGGTTCTATAACTCAGCTGTGAAGCTTCTGTAGGACTTAAACTGACATTTGCCTCCATGTCCCATATGCTCACAAGTCACATGGTGAGGGGCTCTTTGATTGCTTGCTTGTAAGTCTTTCCTAGTTTCAACAGCTCCAGTGTGGAGTATTTTCTCCTAGTTACAGTCCTGTTAACTTTTCTCTCTTTTTGTATCAAAGGTTGACTCTGAGGGGCAGCTTTAGCTACTTTTATTTTTAGATTGTTTCTTTTTTTCACTACCTGTCTTTTTGCCTGGGTCTTTCCACTCCTGGTCCCCTAACCTTACACAAATTAAAATCTCGTTTTTCCTCTCTCTTAAGCTCTGAGGCTGAGAGTTACTCCTTAGCCTTTCAGCATTCTCTTGGGCAAATCTTTTATCATGCAAAGTAATGGCCGTGCCCCCTCTCTGTTTTTCTCTTTTGTTTATAAGATTTTTTTCCAGACTCTTTATAATCTTTAACGAGTTTTCAAATCTATATGGTGGCTAGATTCCATTTTTCAAATAATTGAGCTATTTTCCCACATTTACAACACAGCTGTGGTCCAGGGATTTTTCCCCTTTGAGTCCATCAGCATCTGCCTGGCCCGAGTCATTCTAATTACGTATTTCAGGATCCATTGTACAACACAGGTGAGCACAGCTAACTCCCACAAGCGTATGTAGTTTGGCCATCCTCTCCCCTGGGTTCCCTCCAGCTTCTCCTGGGTGGGTCACGTTACTGCACAGGACTCCTTGAGGCTCCCATCTCCGCCTTTCTGGATTTGGGAATCTGAACCTGACTCCCTTTCAATCAGTTCACCCAATGCTGCTGGAATCGCAATGCTTTTCAAGGCCCACAGCCCCATGTTTTTCTCAGACTCCTGCAGTTCATCTATCCAACCACTCTATGCCAACTTTTTTCACTAAATTTTTCCTCTTTCCCTTCCTTCTTTGGAGACTCAAGCTGGTGCCCTCTGAGGCCTCAGAGCTGACAGACTGACATAAGACATCTTATTTGAATTTTACATAGTTTATATGACATTTGGAAGGGGGTGACTTACAAAAACACAGATTCTTAGAGGTTCCATATTTGAAATGCACGTTGCTATCTGTCGTTGAATTCTGCTCCACCCCTTAATGGGCTGGGCTTGACCCCTTCCACAGAGTGTGGGAAGGAGGTAGGACCATGGCTTATTAAGGAAACATCTGGGTCACAGAAGGCAACCAAGGAAGGTGCAGATAGGAATGGGAATCTAAATACCAACAAATTATATAGTTTGAAAATTTCAAAAGTTCAATTAAAATGGCTACACAGTATTATGTTAACACCCACTGACCTGTACACTTCAGGTGGGCAAATCATATAGTGTGTGACTTATAAAGCTGTTATAAAAACAAACAAACCAAAAAAATTAAATTAAAAAAGGAATCTGGAAGGAAAGAACGGAGAGAAATTTCAAAAATGAAAGAAAATGTAAAACAAACTTTTTGGTTCACTACTAAAGGAAGTTTAAGTAAATGACACTATTTCAGCATAAAAAACTTTGTCCTCCTCAAAAACATAAATTTATAGACATTTTTCATGAACCGGAGTAGAATATGAATTTTTATCTGAGTCCTGGAGATAAGGTATGTTCTATCATTTTTCTAAAAAAGTGATTCTGAAAGCATGGTCCCTGTACTAACAGCATCAGTATCACTGGAAAACTAACTAGAAATGTAAATCCTGGGGCTCTTATCATGATAACTAAATCAGACAAAGTAGAGGTGAAGGCCCACAGTCTGAGTTACAATAAATCTTCCCTTCCACCCTATCTACTGCTCTTCTTCCCTCCCTCTTTTTTTCCTTCCATCATTTTGACACAGGGTATCTCTATTAGCACAGACTAGACTTGAACTTCTGAGTCCCAGGAATCCTGCCTTAGCCTCCCAAATAGCTCGAACTATGGTAGTGTGTTGAGAAGCACTGCTAATGGTTCTCAATGAGTGACAACTTTGCTTCCAGGAGACATTAACATCTGGGAACATTTCCAATTATCAAAAGATGGCTGGGAAGTTGATTCGTTTGGTAAAGTGCTTGCTGTGTAAGCATGAGTACTTGAGTTCATATCACCAACACCCATGTAAAAAGCAAGGCAGAGTGTTATTTCAATGGTGGAAAGCAGAAACAGGAGAATGCTGGGGTATTGCTGGTCAGTCAGTCTGGGTCCATTGGCAAGCTCCAGGTTCAATGAGAGACCCTGACTCCCAAAGGATAAGGCCAGAGCTATGGAGGAAAACACTAGATGCCAATCTCTGGCATCCACATGCACATACATATGGACATTCATATGTACACATGCACATACATGAATGCACACACACACACACAAATAAAAATTTTTAATAAGATTGATGCTGGCTGTTACTCACATCTAGTAGATAGGGACCTGGCTATCATTGTTCAATGCGTAGGTCAACCCCCCACAGCACAGGATCACACAGTGTGAAGTATCCATTGTGGTACTTAGAAAACCCTGCTCACAACTGAACTGAAAGTCTCTCCACTTTCCAGGAGATACAGCCTCAGCCATTACTTTGGGGTAGATGGAGCTTCATCTCCAATTCCACAGCTCAATTCCAGAGTAGAGATGAGAAGGAAAGTTATTCATTTAGGAAGGTGGTCATTTTCATTACAGAGCCCCATTTGACACCCAGTGCTGTTGGTGGAACAGAGGACAGTTCCTGAAAACATGTCCCAATCTAGAAGATGTCTCCTGCTGCTCCCAGCAACAACACAGTTCCCATGAGACAACTGTCTGAATTTGACTGAGTTCAGGCAACCTGAAGTAATACAGCAAGCTGATTTGAGGCAGCAAGGATCCTCTTTCTCTCAATTCCTACCTGCATAGCTGACTCTGTGCTTTCCCCATTGCAAACCACTTCAATTATACTTGTGCAACATACCACAAAATCTCTTTCCTCCTTCTGAGTGGCAAAGGATTTAGAAGTCAAACCTTTGGAAGCAACATTGTATCATTTTTCTCTGGAATCCAAGTTGGGAGACAACAGGATACTATAAATTAGTCTTCTTAATAGCTACCTTTTCTATTTCATATATATTGTGTTTAGCTTAATATACTGTCTGGTTTATGTATAATGTATTTAATATATTTCTAAAGTAGCAGAGGAGAGGCTACTTTCTGAAGATTTAATGCAGAGTCCACTTGCTGATCAGGGAAGGAAAAGCCAGAGAGAGAGAGAGAGAGAGAGAGAGAGAGAGAGAGGAAATAAGTCATGGTATTAGAAATTGTTATCACTCCATCACCAATAAAATTAGCAGCTGTCTTTCTAGCCATGCATCAGAGGTTCCAGGAGGAATAATTTGGAGCATTGTGCAGCATACAAGAGTATTGGAAGATCTAGACCCATTTCAAGCTTAGGAACTTAAAGAGAAGTCTAAGAGCAATCTTAGAAACAGGGACCATGGCAGTCCTGTCAGCCACTCACACTGCCTCCCCAGAGCACCGACAGCACCACTCCTTTGTGCTGGTTACAATTTATTCTCATTTTTTCCCCACCATCCGCCTCTCCAGTTACATCCCCAGGCCCACCCAACACTGGTGTTGTCTTCACTGAGGCACACACTTCCACTGGTTCCAGGCACAAGGCATGGGGATATGATGCAGTGAGTAGCTCATCTTTTGCATGGCTGTATTGCTATGGTCTGTGTGGGAATAAACCGGAAAGCCATGTTTCTTCATAATTTGGTCCTGTGAATAGACAACATAGGAGACGAGGCCCTGGGCCCGGTACTCAGGCTTTGTGCCTCCCATTCGCATCTCTCCAGTCTGGTCCATTAGGGTCCAGGATGCAGGGGTCCCCTCAGGTCCCAGGACACAGGAGCTTGGGAAGTTCTTTATACAGCGTTCAATGAATCTCAGGCTCCTCTCATTGCCACCAAAAAGCCAGAATTTATTCACCAAGGCAGCATGGGACACATCCAAGGATGAGAGCTTAAACATATCTTCATTGCTAGGGAGGGTTCAAAAAGAAAGCAAACTTGTGAGTATACAGGTGTGTATTTGTTCTTAACCTCTGATACCTTGAGGGACAGAACACAGGCTGGGCTTATGATGATCAAGGGGCAGAAAAGCCAGTGTGGTTGAAGGAACTGAGGACCAAGAAAGGTCAGAATGGTAGACAGAGGAATTTAATCCTGGAGAGAAGGGCAAAGTTTGGGGATTATAAACAAGAATGTGGCCCAAGATACACTTCTACTGATTATTATGACTGCTTTTCCTTATTTTTAAAAATTACATTTTAAAATTTATTTTATATGTGGGTTTGTACATACAGGAATAAGTCAGAGAACAACCTGACAGTTGGTTCTCTTCTTTCACCATTTGAGTCCTGAGGACTGAACTCGATAGCTTAGGTCATCAGGTTTGGTGGCAAGGCACTTATCTACTGAGTTTATTTATTATTTATTATTAATTAATTAATTTATTTATTTATTTATTTTTGAGACAGGGTCTCCCTGTATCCCCAGGTAGCCTAGAACTCACTATGTAGACTAGGCTGACCTCAGTCTCACAGAGATATGCCTGCCTCTGCCTCCTGAGTGCTGGGATTAAAGATGTGTGCCATCACGTGCAGCTGCTGAGCCATTTGGACAGCTCTATAATACTTAAAATTTAAAAATGTATTCTCTAACAATTTAATGAATATATATAATGTATTTTAATCATATACACTCTCACTGAACCCCTTAAGTTCCCTTCCCACTTCATGTTGTGTGTATGTGTGTGTGTGTGTGTGTGTGTGTGTGTGATAGTGAGTTAATTAGAGTTGCTTTCATGAGCAAGAATGGGGGTCATTTACTGAAGAATGGGCAGCAGAGACTCAAGTGAAAGCAGGATCAAGCACCAGAGGTTCTAGTAGGAAGATGTGTGCTATGCAGAATAGCTTTCATCAAACTCACATGGTCTTGGGTTTGCCATCACCGGGCGATAATTTCTTGGCATCCAGCAGGGCAGGGAAGAGTGTCTTGACTGTGTCCCATGTCACAAAAAGAATGTTTTCTGAGTGGTTGACTTGGAAGGATTTAGTGCTGCCAATATTTTGTATCACTTCATTCAGGGTGGACTGAGAACCTAGAAGGGTTTATAGGGCAACATAGGAGTTTATAGGAGGCAGGTGATGATTTAAACATATTCTCAGAAGAGGCTTACCAGAGTAAGAAGTGTCAGATTTAAGGTAAGAACATTTTTATTCTGGTCATGCCGCTTTTGCTATGTGAGTGACCATTTAGTCATGGTTGGCATCAATGAAATTTATGAAAGAAATAAATGAAGTGAATTCTATAAATGAAAACGTTACCATGAATGAATGAATTCATTCATGGTCATGTTGCTAGTGGACCAAGATTGGAACTAAGCTTTCTGGGCTTCATAATCATATAGTTTCAATAATCAAAGAAGATGAATTACAGAACTTGGTAGCCAGCATCTTCTGAGTCATGTCCCCAGTGTGATAGATTATTATGGTGATGTCTCAGAATTTAACCATCTCTCCTTGTATCTATTTCCTGGGATAGTCCCCTCCCACACCCCATCTGACTAAAGGGAATAGCAAACTTAATACAAGGAGAGATTTAACAATGTTGAACCTTGGGGTTTTCCCTCTTTTTTAGATCTTGATTATGTTGAGTTAATTTTCTTTTCTTTTTTTTATTGAGGGTTTTTTGTTTGTTTGTTTGGTTGGTTGGTTTTTTTTGTTTGTTTGGTTTTTAGATAGAGTCTCCTTGTAGCTCCAGCTGCCCTGGAACTCACTATATAGACCAAGCTGGCTTCAATCTCACAGAAGTCCACCTGCTTCTGCCTCCCAGGTGCTGGCTTTAAAATTTTATGCCACCATGCTGAACTCTAAATATTTTTATTTTTATTTATTTTATGCATATGAGTGTTTTGCTTGCATGTATATAAGTGCATTTGTGTCATGTGTTGTCCATGGAGGCCAGAAGAGTGTCAAATCCCCTGGAACTGGAGTTAAGGATGGTTGTTAGCTGCCATGTGTGAGGAACCAAACTTGAATCTTTTGTAAGATCTGCCAGTGCTTTTAACTACCAAGCCATCTCTCTAGTCCTGAGACCAGCTTCTTAAAAAGTGACCTAGGATAACTGGAAGGCTGCACCATCATTACAACCAATAGCTGGAACTGACTGATAGAACCACCAATCAGACATGTGCACCCACATTAAAGCAAATTGTGCAGAATAATCCCAGAAACTCATGCACTAAGTGAACAATTCCAGCAGAGACCAGCAGTGAATGATCTGCAACACCCAAACTGAATCACCGAGTCACTTCATTATGAGTTTTGTTTTACAGCAAAAGTTCATTGAAGTATTTTGGTATTGTACTAAGCTCTTCCTGTTCAAAACTTCATTTACTCTTTCAAGTGTCTTATATTTTAGGTACTTTTATTATTCTCATTTTTATATGTGATGAGCATGATCTTAGAAAGGGCACATAATTTTGTTAAGGATCACACAGAAAGGAACAAGTTGATGCCATCCTAGAGACGCTGAATCTAAGGGCATGGTTCTAACCAGGGTAGGTGTCAGTGGTGACCTAGGAGGTGCAATCATTCTCATTCAAGGGAAAGGATGCCAAAAGTAAAGCTATGTTCCTGCATCCCCTCTGGACACAAGGACTCTGGACATACCTATAAAATATGCCAGACATTTATGGTAATGGGAATTATGCTAGTTCTCTATATGAAACCTGATCTTTGCAGTATTTAAGGATCCCTCTTGTGATGGTTTGTCTCAATTATCACCTTGGTAGGATTTAGACTCACTTAGGAGACACATCTCTGAAAGTGCCTGTAAGGGCATTTCAGAAAGCACTGACTGAAGGAGGAAGATGGGCCCTCAAAGTGGGTGACACCTTCAACGTGTGGCTGGGATGAGAAGAGATTTGAGGAAAAAGCAGTGCACTTCTGTGTCCACTGTCTATTACTGTTGCCACCATCCTCTGCTACATCAGAATCCAGTTTCTTCAACCTTCCAAAGTGGGCATGGTACCTATGATTCTCTAGGAAACTTGCAGGCTTTCAGCACCAAATTGGGACTGCTGACAAACCCAGCTTTGTGGATTGAGCAGTTATGGGGTTCCTTGCCTCTCTAATGTGAGATGGCCACTGCAGGATTACCCAGCCCTTTCATGTAAGACAATCTAATACATCATCCTTTACCATGCATACACACAGATTATGCATTCTGTTGGTTTTACTTCTCTGAAGAACCCTGTCTAATATACCCCTCTTTACAAATATAGGTGTAATGAGGTCAAAACATGGACAGTAGGCTGGGGATATGGAGCTTAGGGGAAGAGTATGGAAGTCAGCCAATTTACCATTGATCTTACTTACTTTGAATCTGCAAATGCTGTTTCCAATTGATGACTTCTGGAGATCCCAGGAATTCCCAAGAGTTCTGAGGATCTTTGGAGTAGATTTGGTAAGTATTGGTGTAGTAATCAAGGTCATCTGTCATATCCTGTTATCACCAGGAAAAGTGAAACAACATATTGTTTATAGTTTATCATTGTAATGCTAGTTTCATTAAACTAATATTTTAAAAATATTTTTATTAATTATTTGAGAATTTTATGTGATGTATTTTGAGCATATTTGATCACCTCAACTGTTCCCCTTAACTCGTCCTGAATCCACTCCCACCTTAATACCCTCCAATACTGTAATATGTTTTGAAATTTTTTACTGAATTTTTGTGAATTTCATACAATAATTTTGATTATATTTAGACCTCCTCCCCCATCTGCATGCCTCTCACCCCCACCCCCACCAGATTTCATGTATTCTGTAATATATGTTAAGGCCTATTGACCTAAGTTTGTGTTCCCAAGTGTCCTTCAGTGTATGTCCATCCACCAGAGCCTGGCTAACATATCTAGCAGCTTACCTATTGAATTATCACCCTAACTTAGATGAAATATTTTGATTGGACCATTGTTAGACACATGGTCCACCATTGATTGAAAAGTCATTGTGTAATATGACTTGGCATACACACTGTGGCACAAAGTAGCCACCATATACATTAATCCATGGTTGTGAAATTTTTGGTGAGAAAACTTTACATCCACTCTCTGAACACAGTTCAAGAATAAGAGAGTCATCATGCTGTGCCATAGCTCTCTTGCACTTTTGGGCTTATTCTTCCCATCCAATTGGAATTCTGTATGTTTTCACCAGCATTGCTCCAACTCCCCACACCACACCAAAGCCTGGGAGCTAACATTCTAAATTTCACATGAATGACATCATGTGAAAGTCAAGAAGTGTTTCTGTGCCTGGCTTATTTCTCTTTGTATGATTTTATTAATGCTTCTTCATATTTCTGCAAATGACAGAATTCCTTCATTTTTACGACCAATTTGTATTTCATTGTATATATACACCATATTTTAAAATTGATTCATCCACTGGTAGACATTTAGACCGACTCCCTGTCTTGGTTATTGTGGTTGGGATTTCCTTAAGTCAGTAAGTGACTTTGACTATCATGGACATTTTAACAATATTAATTCTTCAAATTTATTAATATGAGGTATATTTCCATTTATCTGTGTCTTCATTAATTTCTTTCATCAATGAGTTCTGTATTTCCTGATTAAATTGTTCCTAAATATCTCTAATGGTATCACAAATTGTTCTACTGATTTCATTTTCAGACAGTTTGCTTCTATAGTTTCAAAAATCTTAAGTTGATAAACTTTTTCTCCTTATGAATCAATTCTACGGTGAGTGCTTTGAATCCCATCTTTTTGTTTGGTTGATTTTTGAGACACAGCTTCGTTATTTGATCCAGGCTGGCATCAAACTCATGATCCCCCTGCCTCAGACTCTGGAAAGCTGGGATTACAGGAGTATGCTACCAAGTCCAGCTTGATTTTTTTCATTTAATTCATTAAATATTTTTTACAGAATTTCAAAGAATTTGTTACTTCAGTATCTTTACAAAATTTATTGTTCTGGTTACTTGTTATAACTTACCTGGTAACAAATCATATCTTTAAATTATTCCTCTGTATTTGCTTAAGTTTGCTGAGTGTTGTTTAAAAAACTCATTCTTGGGGCTAGAGCGATGACTCAGCAGTTAAAGAGTACTGGTTGCTCTTTCAGAGGACCCATATTTGGTTTCTAGCATCCACATGACTGCTAACAACCATCCATAACTTCAGTTCCAGGGGAATCTAACACCCTTTTCTGACCTTGCATGACACCAGTGCCCTTACTCATATACATAAAATAAAAATGATAAATAAAATACTACTGAAAACTCATTTTGAACTCTGTCAATTCATGTATCTCCATTTCTTAAAAAAAAACCATTTTATTATTTTTATTTTATGTGTATGAGTGTATTGCCTGCATGTAGGTAGGTGCACACATGTCATACAATGTCCATAGAGGTCAGAAGAGGGCATCAGATCCCTAGTAACTGGAGTTATACATTGTTGTTAGACACCACGTGGGTGCTGGGACTCAAACCCAAGTCCTTTGCAAGAGCAGTCAGTGCTCTTAACTGCTGAGCCATCTCTTCAGCCCCACCATCCCCATTTCTTTAGGTGCAACCATGGACACTTTACTTTGTCCTTTTGGTGATATCATCTTTGTGTGATTGTTCTAGATCCTTGTGAACAGATTTCATTGCTTGCCCTTTTGAAGAATTGGGTACATGCTTCAGCCTTTGTAGGTGGATTACTTCCACAGGTCTTGGGTAGACTCCTCAGTGTGGTTACAAAGCATAGGACTGCTGCAATGGTTGTGGTGCTGGAGCACACTCAGCACACAGCACACTGCACACCAAGGCTAGGGTACACCTAGAGAATGCCAGAAATCCAAGGTGTGCTGTGACTTGCTTACTGCTGAGGGATGTTGATTGCCCAAGGCTACTGAGATGGGCAGAGTAGTGGAGCCAGGGATCAAGTCCACCACTTCAGACTGGAGTCCAGGGTTATAAGGTGCATTCTGGCACCAAGGTAGATCTAGAGGCTTAGTACTGTGGACCTATGGGCACCAGTTTGGAGTTGGAAGCCCTTGAACGCTACCTGAGGCTGGTTGGTGGTGGTGGTGGTGCTGGTGGTGGTGAGGGGTGTGTGTGTGTGTGTGTGTGTGTGTGTGTGTGTGTGTGTGTGTATTGGGGTCCTCTCTTAACCCCAAGCAGTTTCTCTGAATGCTGTGCTGTTGACACTGGGTAATGAATTTCCTTCCTTCTCTCTTTAATGTCATCTCTTTTAATTACTGTGCTACAACTATGTACTGTGATTTCTCTCCGAGTTTTCTTACATTGTGAATGTGTTGGAAGCTTGTTCATATTATCTTGCTCCAGTTCTTCCTCTGTTTTCTGATGTTTTAAAATTTGTGAGTTTTTGACTTTGAAATGTATTAACTACTTAGTGCCATCAGTCTTAAATCTGTCTCCTAGTTCAACATGCAAATTTCAGCACTATCATGTAGATCTTATGATCACTCTTACTCTTACTCATTACCCTGTGTCATATTTCATATTTCAGTCTTCATTATCTCCAGTTAGAATTCCTACTTTTTCTTGTCAACTTAACAACATATTTACCTACAAAATAAATTTTGGATGGAAGTTCTATGAAGTATTTCTAACATTATTCTTCTGAAACATCCACATTAACCCCACCTCCCATGGTTAAATCTGCTTTTAAAAACTTTCAATTATTAGTGTGTGTACACTCAGGTAAAAATGCATATGGTGTGTGTCGGGTGTGTGCATGCCATGACACATATGTGGAGGTATGAGGACAACTTTGTAGAGTCAGTTCTCGCCTTCTACCTTTCTATGGATTCCAGGGACCAAACTCAGGTCACCAGGCTTGTGTGGCATGTGCTTTTACCTGCTAAGTCACTGGAGCAGCCTTTACATCTTTTTGTTGTTGTTGTTTGGAATATTTCTGTATCTTGTATATATTTTGTTCCTTCCTGTTCCTTCATATGCCAAATTGTAATTTACCTGTCTCTAAGTGTTTTCCTCTAGGACAGGCACCTATCAAGAATGAAGACTTGTTCTCTATCACTGTCATAACTCCTTTCTGTGTTGTCTGAATTTGACATGCTGCCAGGTATTTGGTAATCACATAGTGAATATATGTAACCAAGGACATTTTTTTCCACATTTGACTCCTTACCTGTTCCTGAGGTCGGACAACCACTGTATTAAAATTAGGCCATTTGTCTACTAAGGCCTTTAGCTTGAATGGGTTTCCATGGTTCATGTGATAGATGGTCCCATAAACCTGCAGAATTTCAAGAAAGATCCCATAAACCTGCAGAATTTCAAAATGCCTTGTGTAATCAGGACAGGGGTTATTGCAATGAAATTGTGACATCTGGTGATGGTAAAGAGTCAAAACGAGATTCTAGGTCAAACTATCTCTACGCACTACTCCCTCTCCCTTTTTATTGAAGTTTTGCAAATTTCATACAATATATTTTGATGGCATTTGGATTCCTGCCCCTATTTGCATCCTTTTACGACCTCCCATCCAATTTCATGATGTTCTCTCTCTCTCCCTCTCTATGTCTCTCTCTGTCTCTCTGTCTCTCTCTCTCTATATATATATATGATGTCTGTGGAAACATATATATATATATGTTTCCACAGACATCTTTCCATGGAGACCTAGCGTTTTATTAGACTATCTAGAAGGGTAATGTAAGCTCAAAGGCCACACATGCTTAAAACTCTTTAACAAATATTTCCATCAACCAATAAAGGTTATATCCCAGGGGTCAAGAGAATGGACTTTGGGGGTCACATTGTTTGGATCCAGTCTTGGATTCCCAGCTCTACTCTTTTGGAAAGGCTACTGAGGGAGGAGGGTAAAAGAGAGAGAAAAAGTCAGAATGAATGAGAGCAAACCTGTGCCCTGTGATGCTAGAGGTGAGGACTGCAATTGTGAATACCAGCATGGACTTCATTAGAGTTATGAACATAAAGATTCAGCAGATACCAGCATGGAAATATACCAGTGGCCAAGGATCAGAGAGACACTGCACACCTAACTGGCTTCTATCACAGATGGGCAATGACTCTTCTTTCTTGTTACTCCTTACCCCACAAGAGCTACTGACAGTTCAGCAGAAAGAAAAGATTCACAATACTTCCAAGCTATTTAAAACAATGAATTAAACTTTTTCCCACTGAAATCAGAATATAATGAGCAGAGGATATTGAGGTAGTCACTATAACTTGAATCAATCAGCATTGACATTTGCAATAAAATATATTTAATATTGATAGAAAAATAAAAGCATTTTCTCAACTGGACCTCAAGTAAGTATTCAGTGATTGCGAGTACTACGTTATAGCTCCTTTAGAGTATCTAACAGACAAATATTCTAGACGTCCATTAAGAGACAATGTATGTCTTCAGCAGAGTTATACTGTTCCTTATGAAAGCTGAGAATAGCTACTGTATCTAAGTAGCTAAGAGAGCTACTGTATCTCACCACACAGATGGTCAAGAAAAGCATTGGGAAATCCCAAGAATTTTCTCAAAATGTCTAGAGTTCACTTCACATAAGGGATAGAGAAATTGAAATTTAAAATACTCTATATCACAGAGCCTTTCAGAAAAGCTTTCACCTTCATACTTTTAAAAAATAGTCACTCACTATAAAATTGTCTTAGGCTAGTGTCCATAACTGATATAATCTCCAAGAAAAAAGACTTGCTTTCTCTCTGGAAGGTTGCCTGGTTCAGTGGGGTCTGCTGAAGTGGCTGGCTTTAGTTTTAGTTTGATTTGAAAAAGCTTTATTTGGGTAGTAAAGAACAGAGACAGTTCTCTCATAATTTACTATTAATCAATCAAAATAAAACAATATAAACTACAAATATAAGAATGCTAACATTTTTCTCCTTCTAAGGAGAGAGTAGCCCATCTCTTAGAGAAGGAGGAAGCTTAATACACTCATCTTATTTTAAACAGAAGCATTCTGGCTAGCAAGATGGTTCATGGAGTAAAGGCCTCTGCTGACAACCTGAGTTGATTAAAAAAAATAAGAGCAAGTCCCTGAATCTACCATTAGTGTAGCTTTCATGTAGCTCCAGATTGATCATCTATATGTATATGTGTTAGTCCGACGTTTTCTAATCATTTGTACTATAGGGAAGCAGCCCTCCAAAAGTTTGACATGCATAAAGTTTAGAGCAACAGAGAAATGTAAGCCAAAAGAGGAATTGATAGGTTACTGACTTCAAACAGATGCAAGATGATTCACCTTTCACCTGGCACGTGTTCTTCTTGAGTGAGCAAATTAAACATTAATGTGCAACCTCAACTAACTGTGGAGGGACATTCCAGGCAAATTTCAAGGACTGCTACAGAGTGCTCTTGGAAAAAAGCAAAGGAATAGTTTCTTCAGTCAACACAGGGCAAAAAGGCATGCGCTCACATGATTGTGCTGCAATTTGCTCTTTGTGTGGTATTGGGACTGCTCCTCTGTATTCTTGAACTTTACTTCTTTTATCTAGTGTTTGGCGGTATGTGTGTGCTGCAGCATATATGGAGGTCAGATGATAAATCTTTGGAGTCTGTTTTCTTTTGCTACTGTGTAGAATCTGGGGATCAAACTCAGGTCGTCAGGCCTGTGTGCAAGGACCGCTACATGCTGAGTCATCTTGCCAGCGCTAATTTTTAAAAAAATGATTTTTATCTCTCATGTTCTTATCAATGACATAGACACAGTGGCAAGTGCTTTTCGGAGAGGTGTTGCAAATTAAATGGGAGAAAATAGGAAATACCATTTGATTCAAAATAGTATAGCAGAGGGGCAGGAGAGATGGCTCAGTGGATAAACATGTGCCACACATGCATGAGGACTGGAGTTCTGGTCCTGGCATCCACATAAAAGCCTGGTAGTTGTAGCAGCCAGCTTGAAATCCCAAAGCCTGGAAGGTGGTGACAAGCTGACTTCCAACACTAGTTGAATAAATGAGCCCCAGGTTCAATAAGAGACCCTGCTTCAATATATACTGTGGAGAGTGGGAAGACACCTGAGTCAACCTTGGGCCTTCACAGGCTTGTTCATACAAGGTGTCATGGTTTGAATGAGACTGTCTCCCATAGGCTCCAAGTATTAGACATTTTGTCCCCAGATGATGGTACTGTTTTGGGAGGTTTTAGAAGGTGTGGTCAGGCTGGAGGAAGCACGTCACTGGGGGTCGGCTTAGAGAGTCCTTAAGCCTTGTTGGATCTAGAGTCCTGCTCTTGCTTCCTGTGCTCTTGCTTCTGGTGCTTGCTTAGAGATGTGAGAGCTTAACCTCTGCCCCTCTGCTCCTGCCATACGGACTGTAATTCTCCTGGAACTGTAAGCTCAATTAACTCTTCCTTCTATAAGTTCCTTTGGTCAGTGTTTCTATCATAGCAACAGAAAAGTGACTAATACACAAGTGTATGTATATTACACACACACACATACATACATACATACAAACATGCTCACATACACATATACACAGGCACACACACACACACACACACAAATAGTGAAGGATAACTGTTAGCCTCTTTCCCCCCAACCCCATCACAACCCATTCCTCCTTGCTTCCTTTGACATTTTCTGGTGTCACCTTTAAAGATTCTGGAAGTCTCTTCCTCAAGGATTTCTCCAGCATCTGCAGCATCTGTGCACCTTGCAGTGGGACGATCATGATATGTTAGCCTAGAGAGATGGCAAAGAAGCACTCAACAATGAGAACAGTTGGAAGAGACCCAGAAGCAGAAGTAGCCAGTTCTGTACGAACACCAGGTCTTCCTTCAGTGCTTCTTCTTTGATGTCCTCATCAACCCTGAGGAAAGAGAGAACTGGCAGAAAGCACAGACATCTCTCTCAGACTTTCTCTGTTCCCTTTCTCACCTTTGGATTGGTTCCATTGACTGATTTCATTTTAGACCAACATGGACATTTGAGATGTTCTTCTGAGCTTCCAGGGCTGTCAGGGAGTCTCCCGGGGTCCTAGTAACAGCGTCGCTCAGGGAAGCTGCCTAGCTTTCCATGCCTTGATTTCCTCAAAGGTAAATGGGTCACCAACAGTACCAACTCACAGAATTTTTGTGAGGATTAAATAAGTGAATAACAGGTAATGTGATGAGTAGAGAGCTGGTCATATAAAAAGTACCGGACATGTGTTATTTATCTTATTGCCATTGCTGCTCTCCTCCTCCTATTTCTTGCCACCAGAGTAAATGCTACATGATAGTTTGATGGCATCATTGTAATGTAGGACATTTTGACACAGTCAAAATACAAACAATTGACCTTTTTAATCAGAATTATCATGGAGTAGCACCTCAAGCTGCCATTCTCATGCTCTCACTCTCTCACAGTCTGCTGGTTCCCTCTCTAAGCCTCAGCTCTTGGATCTGTCATACACATTAGAAAACACCAGATAAGGACCAGCAAGATCAATGGGTAAAGGCACTTGCTGCCAAGCCTGAAGACAAGAGTTTGATCCTAAGAACTTCTGCCAGAAAATTGTTCTCTGACTTTCTCTTGTGTGTCATGATACGAGCATCCCTCCAAGAAAGAAGGAAGAAAGAAGAAAGAAAGAAAGAAAGAAAGGTGAAATTCTTTTAAAAAACTGGTAATACCAAAACAGTGTTTTTAAAAATTGACCCATCATATGATATTGGTCTTACCCAAACCTTCTGTAGCAGCCCAACTGCATAAAAAGGGAAGAGAGTCCATGTTACCATGTTCTGTTTATAGAATTACAATATTTAGACTACAAATCTTTATATGTGAGTATATATCCTGATGTAACACCGGGAGCCAGGAAAAGGGAAAGGAAACGTGGAGGTAAAGGAAAAGAAAGAACCAGAAAGAGATAGGGAACAAGTGTTGCCAGGTGGGAGGTGGGCAAAATGGGAGTGTATGGCTGGGAGGTGAGGAGGAACAGACATATAGTGGGCCATTGTAGGGGAGGAGGGAACTCAGAATGGGGGGCATGGTAGTAGTTATTGGGGGCGGGGATAATGTGAGCGCTTGGACTGGGGAAAGGGGAAGGAGGTTGGATAGGGGAGAAAGAGGACAGATGAATGGATCCTGGGGGGCTATGGAAGCCAGAGGGAAATGTGTTGCCTCAGAAACCCCCTAAAAATGCATATATGGTGCCTGAACACTAGTGCATATGTATACCGGGGCTGTAAGGCAAGAAAAACAGTGGCAGACAGGAGAGATCTCCCTTCAAGTGGTTGGTCAGAGTGGTCCAAAATAACATAGGCTATTGCCAGAGCTCTTGGTTATCTCCCAGAACTGGAAGATAAAACCCTACTGCTGAAGACAGGACATACTTTGGACACAGGACTTGGAGCAATGGAGCAGTAACTGACCTGGAACCCTTCTACCTGAAGTTTAGCTCTCATAATTCTAGAGGATAAGCTGCTAAGGGAAAAAAAATCAATGAATGGTCCAACCCAGTCTTAAAGCCTAATAATCATAATGACAACCACAGCAAATCCTCTATTGGTGCAGTAGTGGCACTATTACCTTGGGGATAATCAACAGCTATATAATTGGACTTAAACTTTCTCAATGAGAGTGAACTCGAGGGTGGCACTGTAAACACAAATAAATATACATGGCTGGAGAGGTCATAGATCCTAGAGAAAACCCTATCCCTGTCATGGCTCTAGACAAATGAAATTTCTTGCCATATCCTAAATATGGATTCTTATTTTACAGACAAGTATACTGTTCACAACTCATCAAAGAAGCTTCTTTTTGCAACAGTTGGAGACTACTGCAGAATCCCACAACTGGTCAGACACAGAAAATATATGTCAGAGATGCTGAGTCCTAGGTGACATATCTACAGTAGAACCTCTACACCCTAGACTCAGAGCATAGCAGGAAGGGGGATAGAGGAAAAATGAGTGTATCCCTCATCTCTTGCCAGTGAAGCTTCCTTATACAACAGAGTGCGATACACACAAAAGGCCACAAATGGCCAACTTTTAAAGAATAAGAGACTACAGAATGTGTGTCCTTGGGTAGGATTCCTATATTAAACCTCACACACCCATGACTCAGGGACCACTGCAGAAGAGGGGGCAGAAAGATTGCAAAAGCCAGGACTGGTCCATGAACATAGGGAAACAGGCTTTTAAGCCACTGGAAGCTTGCACATGTGAACTTGTGGCAATGGTGGCATCGAGCACAGGACCCATGCCAACTCAATCAGACAAGGGCCCAGAGTAGAGCTAGGGAAAAGGTAATGGGTTGACCTGATGGGAACTATTGGCAATTAATTACTACTGGGTGACGAAGAGTAGGACTTACCAACAATTTCTAGATAGGCTGACTAGACTCCAGTGGATGAATGTGCACCGAATGACATCTGGGTACAAATGCTTGACTGGATAGGCTGAACATGTATGGTGGAATGCATGAGGTCCAGGGTGGGGGGCCTGGGGGGCTGGGGGTCTAAATTTGATTAAGAACTGTTGTATGAAATGTTCAAAACTACAATAAAAATTCTAAAAACTAAATAAAAGGTAAAATAAAAATAAATTAGGGTTGGAGAGATGGCTCAGTTGTTAAGAGCACTGACTGTTCTTGCAGAGGACCCAGGCTCGATTCCCAGCACCCACATGGTGGCTAACAACCGTCCATAATCCCAGTTCCAGGGGATCTGACACCTTCCTCTGACCTCAATGGGCATTGTGTGATGTGGGTATACTTACACAATGCAGGCAATACACTCATACACAAAATAAAAAAATAGTAAATAGTGAGTTCAAGGCCAGCCTGGTCTACATAGTGAGTTCCAGGACAGCTGGGGCTACAGGGAGACCTTGTCTCAAAAAGACCGAAAAAAAAAAGTAAATCAAAATATCATTTTTCTCTAAGTTGACCAAATCAGTCATAAAACACCTGTGGGAAATAATACAACTGATGATTAAATTCACCTAAGTGTAAGGCTTACTATTAATAGAAAGCTTAAAGAGATCAAGATAGAGTGACTTGGCATATGGGTGAACAAAAAAGTCAATGGAGTGGAATCAAAAATCCAGAACAGACTGGATAGGTATTGTGAATTGAAGTTCCTTCAAAAAGTCAGGTCTATGTTAAAGATTCTACAAGGTTCACTGAATGATTAGAACTTTTGGATTATGAAGAGTTGAACTGTTATAGATCCAGAGTCAAGATCATCTCTAGCTATCTTCAGTCCCCTTAATGATGGCTCACTGCCTGACTCTGTATCTGATCTAATATCTTTTGAGGTTCTGGTGTTTTAACTATCAGGCAGAACATTTTTGGATGTTTTAACTTAGAAGACCACTAGCACCCACCAATCTAAAAGCTAAGATCCACCACATATTTGGAAAATGCCTTGATTAATGATTTCCCTTTGTTCTGTGACTATAAAAACTTCATGAAACTATTTCTATGGTAGAACATGTTATTTGAGGTCAACTGAATCTATGTGCCATGTCATGGTCACATATTTGACTCAAGAATAAATTATCTTTTATTCTTTTTGAGGTTTTGAGGTGAGAATCGTGTTTAAGGTGGACATTGTGATCAGTTGATTTTTTTTCTCCATGGACCTTTAGGCAATTCAGTGAAGGCAGAAAAATGTCCTCCAGCAACTGGTGCAGAATTTCATTGTTAAATAGTCAAAAAAGTAGCTGCTGATAGATGCAAGTGGGTATGGATTTCTCACAGTGGCAGCTCGGAGGAAGTCCCTGCAGTGATTTGTTTTTCTTTTGCTTTCTATCCCAAGCTATTTAAAACAGCTACTTATTCTGATTCCTGTCATTTATTTGTCTTTGACTCTTTTCCTGTTGCTGGGATAAAATACCCTGAAAAAAGCAACTTAAAGGAGAAAGAATTTATTTGGCTTACAGTTCAAGGTGCAGCCAATCATGCTAGGGAAGTCAAAGCAGTGGGAGCTTGAAGTGGTTAGTCATATTGCATCCACACTCAGAAAGCAGAGAGGGATGGATGCACACATAGTGCTCACCTCTGCTTTACACAATCCTGGGTCCCTTACTCAGGAAATTGTTCTGTCTACAATTAAGATGGGTCTTCTCACATCAAGTAGCATAATCAAGAGAATTCCCCATCAGCATGCTCAGAGGTCCATCTCCCAGGTGATTCTAGATTCTGCCATCTTGACAATTACATTAACCATTACAGTTACGAATTTGAGAAAGCACAACATTTTAACAGAAAGTTAATATCAGACAAGGCCAGGCTACAACCATCATGGAGTTAAATACAAAACAAAACGTCAGACCCATCACCAACTACTCCATAAGCGTGTGTAAACACAGGCAAAAAGCCGAAGTCTTATGAGCAGAAGTCGCAGTATCCGTGTCCCCGGCAACATATCCAGCTAATATATTCAGTTAATGTGGAGCGATTACAGCCACACCACTCCTCCTTTCCTCCTGCTGCATGGGGAAAAGTGGTCGACTCACCCTGATTGCTGGCAGGACACAAACTGGAAGCACAGCATACCTCCTTGAATGGTTCACCAAACCACTCACCTGGAATCCACCCTACACTCTGTGAGCATCTCACAGTTCACTGTGGTTTGCATTTCTCTCACAGAGACAAGAACAAATGCAGTTTTGTGAGGTTGCAGGTCTGTTCCAGGTAGCCAAAGACTAGATTTAACCACTGAAGCATCAGGTTCTGCTGTTCACTTTGACTTCCTCTAAACCTTAGGGGTACCTCCTTTCACTGTGATCCCTCAGTTCCATCGATGACATCAGGTATTACACAATAATAATACATAATATGTAGCTTTATGTGAAATCTGTAGTAGGTAAAATTACTGGGTTTTGTGAGTGGTATAATTTGGAGCCACCCTCAAGAATGTACACATAAACAATCTAGTATAGTACCTAACAAACAGTGTAGATTGAGCTATGTATGGTGAGATTTTTCTAGAAAGCCTGGCACACTGTAGCGAGAATCACTAAGCAATTTGTGAGTGAACTCTGTCGTTAATCTGATGAAAACAAACAAACAAACAAACAAACAAAAAACAGAACAGCCCTAAATAGAATTATATAAAGCCACACAAACACAAGCAGGTACTACACAGAATCCAAATGTTTATAAGTAGTGGAAGGAAATGTAAAATATGATGTACCAGGGTGTACAGCATTTCTATGATGCCTACAGGTATGATATTAGTGAATGCAGACATGTCAGAGAGCATCTAAGCACAGGGAGAGCACGTAGGGCCTCGGACGGTTCCTGCACAACATACCAAGCATGAGTTTAAAAGGCAGTATAGAGAGAGGGCTAATGCACCCCTGAACTCTCATCAGTGAGGCTTCCATGTACATCAGAGTGCTTTACACACGGAAGGCCTCAACTGGCCAAGTTTTGGAGAATAAGAGACTGCAGAGTGTAGGATGGGACTCCTATGTGGAGCCTTACCCACTCACGGCTCAAGTACCATTGTGGAAGAGGAGGCAGAAAGATTGTAACAGCCAGGGCTGGTTCATGAATGGATGAGGTGGAGGCTTCCAGGACAATAGAGGCCTGCTTATATGCACCTGTGGCAGCAGTGACGTCCAATGTGGGACCCATGTCAACTCAATTAAACAAGGGCCCAAAGGGGGAGATGAGAAATAGATGGTGGGTCAGCACTAGATAGAGAAGTATTTGAGACTGGTTGCTGCTAGGTGAGGGAGAGTATGACTTACATACGACCACTGGATGGGCTGACTAGACTCCAGTGTATGCGTTTACACTGAAGAACATTTGGGTACAAACACCTGAATGAATAGGACTCAGCATGTATGGCAGAGTGCATAGGGTTCGGTTGGAGGGGCATGGATGGGGGAGGAGGTCTAGATTAGAGTGGGAACTATTGTATGAAATTTTAAAATTTCAAAGGAAAAATGAAAATAATAAGAAAAGGCAGCGTAGGTAAATTCAAAACTAGACTGTGGTACAGCCCTGCAGGTGAAATCCTTAATATAAAATGTGCTTACTGTTTGATTGAAAAATATTACTGTGGTGTGTATTCTTGTCATTTCCATTCTGACTTTAAGCATATTGCCCTTCTTACCAGTCATGCATAAAAAAGCCTACCTACCCTGTGACATAACATGCCTGGATACAATCTCTTTAGCACCTCCACATGCTGGGCATTGCATGTTCCCCCTTCCAGAAACCACCCAAATCTTTCCTCAGTTACTTATTACTGCAGAGCAGAAACATTTGAGAAATTTTGGTTATACTTGGCAAACAACCTTTCACAAAACACATGCAAGATATATGTTTCTTGAAATAAAATTACTTTTTTTTCCTGTGGGAATGTTTGCTTACATATTCTGGAAAAACTTTGATTTCACTCTCTTGAGAGGAGGGGAATGCGAAAAAGCATTTTTATTATTGAATTTTTGCAAATTTCAAACGATATATTTTGATCATATTTACATCCCCTCCTCTATCTGTATCTACCTTACTACTCCCCACTCAATTTCCTGTATTCATACACACACACACACACACACACATACACACACACACACACACACAAACACATATGCCTATAGAATCAGGTTTGTGTCCTCAGTTGCCCTTCTGTTTGGGTTCATTGACTGGAAACAATGACCTTTTAAAAAACATATTACTATCTGTATTTAAATTGTACCATGTGGTTTTATAGGACATACACATACATGTGGAAAAAAAGGTCACCATAGTGAAACAAATTAACATATGCATTGTGTCACATATATATTCAAGGCCTTTTTTGTTTGTATGCTTAGCAAGAACATCTTAAAACCGTGGGCCAAAGAGATGGCTTAGCAGGTAAAGGCCCTTGCCATACAAGCCTAAAAGCTTGAGTTCCATCCCCAGAACCAAGGTGAAGTGGAAGAACAGAACCACACACACACACACACATAAAGTTGCTCCCTGGTCTCCACATGTGCACTATGGCACATGCACCCCCCCCATCACGATAAACAAAATTTTGCAAAAAGTTAAAAGTTACTAATTCAGCATGTACTCCCCCCCGCCCCAATACAGCATGCTTTTATGAGCTGTAGCTTTCATGTTGTTAACTTGGCCTCTAGATTTGCTCGGCCTACACAACTGATACATTGAGGTGAATCCTCACCTTGAAAGCTGCCTCCCTCTGCAATCAGTCTTTGTAGAAATAGATGTCTGGGAGGATGAACTTCCCTTCCGAAGCAGCAAGCTCAGTGGGAACCAGAAGAGTGAGTGAGCTTTGGCTTGTCGCCTCTAGAAATTAACTGAACTGAGGCTTGAAATGTGGACCTTGAGCTAAGCTGACAAGAACTTCTGAATGTCAGCCCCAGTGAATGCTAGCCCTTCCCTCCAAGGGCTTGTGTTGAACCAAATGACTGTGGGAGGTTGACACTTGCCCTCCAAGCCTCTCTTCTCTAAACATGGCATTGATCTTTGCCCTGATATTACTAAGCAACCCAAAGCTGTAGTAAACCAGTAAGCTGGAAAGCGATCCGAGGGTCAGCTCGTGCAGGCAACACCTCCTTCCTCCCCATTCTTAGTCCCAAATATTCACAATATCCAGGAGGCTATGAGGAGGACTGAGGTCTGATCTGAAGAGTTCGCTATCTGATCTCTTTTCTTACACACTGCAGAAAAAAGAAATTACTTGCATGTGGTGACTGAACCTGTTAGAATCCTTTTTTCTTACAGCAAATTGTGGTCTTTCTCCTGCTCATTTTGAGGCTACAATTAAGCACCCAGTGATTCATGGTGAGGACTTCGTAATCTATTACAATTGTTTTTAGAACGTTTATTTATTTTGGGTGCTATGGTGACATGCAAGGTGGGGGTGGCATGTACAACAGCCTGTGTGGAAGTTAGAGGACGACTCATGAGAATCACTTCTCTCTTCCACCGTTTAGGTCCTGAGGATCCAACACAGGCTGTCAGGATTTTTACCTTTAAAAAAGTTAAAAATTGTACAAAGGGCTTGCATTTTAACACCTTCGTAACGTATATGATATATTTTGACATCATGTGATATACTATAATCACCCTTGATTGCCTTTAATTATCTTCTCTTCTCCCTTTCCCCCTCCACATCCCTTATAATCCCCTTTTTACATTTATACCTACCTTCCATGTATGAAAGAAAATATTTGTAGACTGCCTATTCCACTTAAACTGATGATCTCAAGTTTCCTACATTTTTCTGTAAACAACATAATTTCATTCTTCTTTAAGGCTGAAAAATACTCATACACACATATTTCTCACATTTCCTTTATCCATTCATCCACTGATAGCTACCTACTCTGATTCTGTAGCTTGACTCTTGTGTACAATGTATCAGTAAACATGGGTGTGCAGGTATCTCTGCAGTAAACTTTGATTCTTGGTTCTATATTCAGAAGTAGTATGAATGGCACACACAAGAGTTTTATTTTTATTTTTTAAGAAACATTCATATTGAGTTCCATGGTGACCGAACTAGTTTACATTCCCACTAGTAATATATGAAGACTCCTTCTCCATGCATCTTTGCCAGTATTTTCTGTTTAAGTTCTTGAAGATAACCATTTTGAAAGAGTGAGCTAAAAATTTCAATGTAGTTTTGATTTACATTTCCCTGATGTCAGAGACTTTTCTTTCTAATGTGCTACCACCCGTTACTGTTTTCTTTACTGTCTTCAAAAAATACAGGACTCATTGAAAAGATTTTTAAAAAACTTTTTTGACATTTATTTTTATTTAATGTGTATTAGTGCTATACGTGCATGTATGTTAAGTGCACCCAGGCCATGCAGTACCCACAGAGGCCAGAAGAGGGCATCGGATCCCCTGGAACTGGAGTTAGCTGCCATGTGGGTGATGTGATTCAAACCTGAGTCTTCTATGAGAACAGCTAGTGTTCCTAACTGATGAACCATCTCTCCAGCCCCAAAAAGATATTTTAAATGTCAACTCCAATATGTGAAACAATCAAGGAAGGAAGTTTAGCACTCTCTAGGGCCAGCTGTGCTCAGCTGGTCAGTAGTTCCACCACGGAAGGAAGACCAGTTCAAACCAGAGGATCAGGAACAGGGGTGGCTAGTGTCTAGGCAGAAGGTCAAAAGAGCTGTGTTCCTTCAGCCCATGGATCAGTACTGTATTGTTCAAATTTGCACATATTTTTCTCTGTCCTCTGTAGAATCCTCAATCTTCTTAGCACATTAACTCATTCCTATCTCCTGTGATTGAAGAAATTATGATTATTCATGATTTTTCCATGGCCAAACTCCACTGAATTGTTTGGTCATCATCCACAGAGTAAACCTATCAACTCTGGTAGACTTCATATCTCAGGGACTAACTGCAGCAAAGGAGTGGAGTCCTCCCTCTCCCCAATCCCAGAAGCAGACCCCACCTCTCTATCTCCTTCACCTCGCTTAAATACTCAGCCAGTGAAAAGACAATGAACATGTCTGCTACTCCCCTCCCTTGGGCTATCTTAAACTCTTCAGATGGTTACCCCAGCTGGAAAACCAAGGGTCTTGCTTTTCTTTGCCTCAGATTATTACTGTTGCTGTGTTGAGTGTGATAATAGACATGAATCTAACACACTTTGAGATCAGCCATGTTTATACTCCAGTAAATAACTCCCAGTTCATGTTCATGCAATGAACCATAATTAAACTCAGTGTACGTGCATGGGGGGGGGTCAAAGTAGGAGGGGAACCATTGGAAAGAAGAAAGGTTTCAATGAGAGGGGTGAGAGAGAGTAATGAGAAGGTGAAAATGCCCAAAGCTTAGTACATAAATGTATGAAATTGTCAGAGAATTAAATATATATTGATCTAATATTTTCATTAATTTCATACAAGGTATTTTGAACATATTCATCCCCTACTCCTCCCAGATCCACCCCCATCCAAATTCATGTCCTTAAAAAAAATAAATAACCCACAGAGTTCAATTCGTACTGCCCATATATTCGTGGGTATGGGGCCATCCATGGAGCATGGTTGAGCTAATAGGGGCCATGTGTGTTTGTTCATTAACCATCATTCAATGAACAAAGAAATTACTCTGATGTGGTCTGAGAGCTGCACTAATCTATGGATATAGAGGGATGAATGCAGAAGGCAATTTGATATTACGTCCATTTAGCATAACAGTAATAGGTTCACCCCTGGGGCCTGTGAGGTCTGCAATCATGGGTTCCTGTCTAGGTTGACAGGACCAGGCATGCCTTTCCTCCTGTGGAGTAGTGTCCTTAAATCCAGTCAGGAAACTATTGGTCATTCTTATAATGTTCATGCCATTAAAGCACCCGTGGACAAAGCTTGCCACACTAGTTATATTGTAGTTCACAAGGTTCACAGCTTGGTCAGATTGTTGACATTTTCCCCCAGCAGGCTGTATAGAGCCTTCTGGCACTGTGAAAGAGAGCCGTCAGGAAGGAAGCTTTCCGGTCAGTACCTACTTGATTTCTCCATGTCCGCTGACCAAAATTTGTGGTGTCTTCACCAATAGGGCTTTGCCATCAAGTAGTGATGAAAAACTAAGAGCAATGACACTAGCTTTTGCTTGGGTGGTCTCTGGGGCCAACAACTTGAGGGGAGGGATCCCCAACCTGGCACTTGGATTTTGAGAGTGCTTATAAAGTTAAGCATACATATACATGCTTAATTTTATAATATAATTATATACATATGACTTGTAACAATAACATTATTTTGGTAGTCTCTGGGAAACCCCTGATCAATAACTTGAGGAATCCCCAACATGACACTGGGATTTGTATTTGGCAATGGATGTTTTTTTAGAGAGAGAGAGAGAGAGAGAGAGAGAGAGAGAGAGAGCGAGAGAGAGCACTTAAACATACTGAAGTATATATACATATTTTAAAAAATTATTTAATGACCACATGATTAGAAGAAGCATTTCATTATAGCATTAACATATTCAATAAAAATTTACAGAGCAAAGATGCATCTCTTTCAAAATTGGCTGTAAATTTTTAGGTTCACAGTTGAATTAATACAGTTATAGAATATTGAACTTACTATAAACCCTATAAGACATAAAATTAAATGAGGTTCCAATGTTTAAAAAAGATCTCTGTTTCATTTTAAAATATACTTTTTCATACAGAAAAACTCATTTTTAATGCTACTAACACTTAGATCTTTGCACATGTGTCTCTAATCTCTATGTATCTGATTATTACTGTCACAGTCAGTTACTTTCTGAGATCCTTGGCACCTGAGCATGGATACAAAATCATCACGTAGATTTCAATGGTAATGTTTATCACCTCTACTAATTAACATGAAGCAAATTTTTATGCTTCTTCCTCAAATATAACTCATTTTTTGTTTATTTTTGTGTGTGCATTTCATAAGAATATCCCAAACAATCTCATTCATCTATATACCCACATCCCAAATGGCACCCACCCATAGCCTCTCCCCTCCCACCACTCTAGCCCATATACTCTGTCAGATCTCTGTTACTGTCCACTGTGTTGTCGGCGCCCTGTTATATAATTAAGCATATATATGACTCATAAAATAGCAGGGTTCCATATGGCCTTTTCAAACACTCTCAGTGCTATCCCTCACCCTATCCTCTTCCTTACTTTCCCATCCCTTTCCCCATTTAAAATAAATATTTAAAAAAAACACTGGACAGAGGATGGAGGAAATAGAGAAGTGACCAACACTATAGACCAAATAAATGGGACTACATCAGACTAAAAAGTTTCCATGTAGCAAATAAAACAGCAAAATAAAGTGGTAGCCTATGGACTGAAGGAAAATATCTGCAAACTCTGTGTGATAAGGAGGTGATACAAACAATTATAAGGTGTTCATTTATCTCAAAAGTACAAAACAAGTTTTATTTTAAGAGCTGCAAAGAGCTAGATAGACATTTCTCCAAAAGACAAGAATGGCCAACAAGTTACTTAAAGTATTCATTAGTTAATTATCAAGGAAATGCAAGTGAAAATCACTAGCAGATACTAGTTGGAAGTTGGAGGTTTTTGCTTATTGTATTGTAAAAGAAACAGGATTAAAAAAGGTAGGCAAGGAGAAAAGGGATATCTACATGGTCTGTGGACTGGTGCAGTCATTACAGGAAACTGTATGAACATTTTTATATAGATTTTCTTTGTGTATTTCATACAGAACATCCCAAACAATCTTATTCATCTGTATTCCCGCATCCCAAATGGCACCTTCCCATAGCGCCCCCCCGCCCACTGAAGCCCATATACTCTATCATCCCTGTTACTGTCCACTGTGTTATCAATGCCCCCAGCTGTTACCCAGTGCTTGTCCATCTACTGAGTCTAGTCAGCCTATCTAGAGTTCCTTGTTTTAGGAAGATCAACTCTTCCTCATCTAGTAGTAATCAGATGCCAACATTCCTTTAGATAAGATTGGGGTCTGCTGTTCATTTTCCCAATTCTAAGCTGGGTTACTGTCTGGGAGTCTCTTGGGCCACCCTGGCCAATAACTCAAAGGAAGGTATCTCATGTCTGGCATCGTTTCTTGTTATGTAGCCTTTAGCTATACACATGGACTCTTAAAGAATTATATTGATCACTATAATCTTTGGTTATATTTTCCTTTTTAGTAGTTAAGACCATAAAGTTGGCCCAGATTAACCAGTTTATTTTTATTCTTAAGGTCTAGAAAACTGTATGAACATTTTAAAAGAAATTAAAAATAGAACTACTATATTACCCAAAAATCCCTCTTTGGGACATATGCACAATAAAGACCATTACTTTATAAACATATCTACACTCCCATATTTATTGTGGGATTATT